AGGCACCTGTATAAACAGCTCATCACTATTGCTTACGTATGAAATCAGCTTTAGCCGGCTTGTTATTTTTCTCATTCTTTTTATCCTGAGACTGTTGTTTCTGAACTCATTCGTTTCTAAACTAAACCAACCACAAAACTGACAAAACACAGGCTCCCATAATAACATCTCAATAACATGTCTAATTATGAGAGGAAAAAAGACCCGTCAATTTAAAATTGTTAAATTCAATTTCAAAAAGTGAATAAACAAACATTTTTATAACACAAAGTAAATATTACATAAATAACAGTGAATTCAATGGACAATATTATAATTTTATACTATAATTTTGTGCTATTATTTTGATCATGTTTTTGAAATAAGTCTATTACAATATATTTATAGGAATAAATTATATATGTAATTTATTCCTGTGATCGCAAAGCTGTATTTTCACATACATTACTTTATTCTACAGACAGAAATTATTCTAAAATGCTTATTTGGTTCTCAAGAAACATTTCTTATTGTTATCAATGTTTAAAACAATGTTGTGCTGTTTAATATTTTTTAAACCTTTTTTTTTTTTTTTTTTTACATGTGAGAGGGGTGTCAGACATTAAATATTTAACAGCTCTTGGGCCATTTGTGCTAGGTGTTTGACTGTGTCATAGGTCCTGACTGTGGTGAACCGCCGTTCTGAGCTCCTGCCAGTGTGAGACCTCAGCTGCCACACGACACTCACCACCCGACCCTTTGGGAATAAGCATTAAGAGTGCAGAATGAGAAGATTATGTTGACTAATTACAAATGCATGGTCGTCTGACCCCAAAATGCTTTGCTTTGAAAAATCACTAGCTTGAGCCCTGTGTGTTTTGAATAAATGACTTACTTAAAATTGTTTCTGTGCACTAAACTGGGACAGGAGAAAGTATTTTGCCATAATAAAAATGATAAACATCACCTTCAACAGGGGAACAGGTACGGCTCAGAGTTACTGTGATATTAAAATGGTAAATTCCCCCAGCCAATGGCATATTAATTAATCTTATCTTAACTCCACATATTGTTAAGGGTCCAACAAGATGTGTTGAAACGTGCCTTTTCTGCAGTGTTTGTTCCGTTGTTCTGCTTAGTAACCTACACCCCACACGTTCACCCTGATAGACACAAGCTACAGACTTGAAATTTCTTCGGAGATAAATGACAAACTTCTTACGCTGACTTAACGAGTCATGATAAGGTTTGACTGATCTGATTGTGACTGATGTTGATTTGATCTTTCATGAGTACATAATGCCAAAAAAAATGCATATTTCATTTAATTCCTTTCAAGCTAACATCATTAATATTGTAAATGATGTGTTAAAGCAGCATGTTGACATTAAACTGAATGACATATTAGAAAAACCATGAAAGGACTGTTTAAATATAATATACATACATGCAATATATATATAAATGAGAGAAGACAACACTACCAATATCTTTGGTAACTCTCATATCTTCCAATATCTGTGTCCAACCAAACGAATATAATCTTGGTAGAAATGCAAAAAGGTTGCATGACATTCCCTCATGTTTAAAAATGATTAAAGGGGTCATATGATGCGATTTCAATTTTTCCATTGTCTTTGGAGTGTTACAAGCTCTTGGTGCATAAAGAAGATCTGTAAAGTTGCAAAGACTAAAGTCTCAAATCCAAAGAGATATTCTTTATAAAAGTTAAGAGTCAACCACGCCTCCAATCACAACGCACTGGATAGCTGGCCAATCAGAGCACACCTCGCTTTTTTAGAACGATGAGCTTTGTAAAAATCGAGAGAGAAAAATTATGTACAGTATGTGGAAAATAATGTGTTTTTTTAACCTTAAACCGCATTAACACATTTCATTACACCAAATACACAAAATAATGTTCTTTTAGCAGCATCATATGACCCCTTTAACACAACTACACAAGGTAAATGAAAATCCTATTTATTCACCCTGATTGTCACGATCGCTACTGTGAGGAGCACGGAGGGAGGAACGGGGAGACGTTGAGTAAACTTCAAACAAAGAGACTTTAATTAACATCCAACGGAACTAGGAACACACACATAGGTGAACGATGAAAGATGAACGATGAACATTCAATACCAGACAAAGGAACTCTGAATAGAACTCACTTTAAATACACAGGACTAGAGGAGGGGATGACGAGAAACACCTGGGACTAATGAAACAGTTAACATGGGAGAAAACTGGGTCATGGAGCACGTGGGGGAAGAAAAACACACAGATAGAGTCCAGGGGCGTGACATATCGCCCCCTTCCTGGAAGGCGCGTCCTCGCGCCGTAGAACAACAGAGGGGGGGCACGGGTGGGAACTTGGGAGGAGGCTCGGGAGGAGGATGGATACCCGGGAGGGGGCCGGCAGACAGAGTCCAGGGAGGTGACGATGTAGGGAGGAGCCAGGGAGGCAACAGGAAGGACTTGGAGCAGGAGGGGCCAAACAGGACCCAGGCCACAGCCATGACAGCGACCCACGGTGGAGCCGACGGAGGGAGGAGCCATGGAGGAGGAATGGTCGCCCACTCCAGGGGGCCGACCAACGCCGGTGGAGCAGATGGCGGAGGAGCCCGAGGCGGAGACAGAGAGCAGATGAGCCAGGGTGACGGGGAGGATCCGGAGGGCCAAGGCGGACAGATGGAGCCGGCGACTGACGCGGAGGCGTGGATCCAAAAGGCCGCGGTGAAGCCAGAGCGACAGAGGACTGAGGAGGAGACGAAGGAATGAAGGAGCCTAAAGGAGCCGGAGGGATGAAGGGACGAGGCGCAGCCAGAGGAGTGGAGTCCCAAGGCGCAGGATGGTCGACGCCAGACCAAGGCGGAGCCGGAGGGACGAGGGAGCCTGGTGGAGCTAGTGGACTGCCGGGCCACGGCGGAAAGGAGAGAGCTAAGAGCTATGGTGGAGCTGACGGGTCCACGGGCCGAGGCGGAGCTAAACTCGGGGACTGGAGCCCTCTCTGGGCTAGACTCGGGGACTCGGGCCCTCTCTGGGCTAAACTCGGGGACTGGAGCCCTCTCTGGGCTAAACTCAGGGACTGGAGCCTTCTCTCTGCTGGACTGGGAAACGGGAGCCCACTCAGGGCTGGACGGGACCAGCAGGGACGAAGGAGAGAGGAGAGGGGGCATGTCGGCTTCCAGCTCAGTTTCCCAGTTTATAAGGTCCCCCTCGAAGTCCAGCAGTCCCAGCTGTATAATCAGCTCATCCTCAGCCGCGGTGCAGTGGGCGGAGCTCCACTCTGCGCTCTCTCTGTCTCCCTCGTGGCGGGCTCTGTTGCCGGCTCTCGCACCTTGACTGACGTCACTTGCAGCTCCGGCTCAGCAGCGATTTGTTGCTCTGTTGCTCCATGCGGCAACGGCTCGTCGGCCGCAGCAAGCTCTAGCATGCGCTCCGCGCAGAGGGGAGATGGTGGGCTGGGCACTGGGTCCGGGGTGGCACTGGCGAGATCCACTCCACAAATGCGGCGAAATTCGCTCGAGGGCCTTCCTCGGACAACGGCGCTCTGTACGAGGAGTTTAAACTGGCGTCATAGAACGCACAGAGCGCATCGTCCGGTAACACCTGGAACTAATGAAACAATTAACATGGGAGAAAACTGGGTCATGGAGCACGTGGGGGAGGAAAAACACACAGACAGAGACCAGGGGCGTGACACTGATATACGGTTTCAGACTTTTCAAATTTATGAAGGAAGTAAAATGACAATGACAGTTCAAAGTTTCTGTTTAATCACCACCTAATGTGAGAAAGTAATGGAAGTTTTGCATGTAGACACAACAGCAGAATAACAAAATATGACATGACCCTCTCAGAAGAGATATATCAGCTTATGTGTAAGTTTTAGCCGTTGACTCCACATCTGCTGTGCACTGGTTCTGGTTATGTTCTGATTATGTTCCAGTTAGAGTAAGAAAAGTTGTATAGAAAGTCTTTGGGGGGAAAAGAGAAAAAACTCAATACGTTTATTGTCAATTGAGCTAGTTAAACAGCCAAGTATACTTCCCAGCATTCCAGCATAAAAAGCAGGCAGCAGAGAAAGGAACATCGCAATTGTGGTGTCTACAAATGGTTGAGACGTATCCGAGGCTTTGAAGTTGTTTCCTGCTCTCAGGCAGTTCCCGTTCTAAAGGGCAATTTGGGTTTCAATCCAACAGGTCCAAGTTCTTGCTCCCCCTTCTCTCCTTCCTCCTTCCAAATGTCTTATTTTTCCCTCCTCAATTTACTGTAAAGTACTCCACAAACTCCCCAAACAAGAGCAAAACCACCATCCATTGAACCAATTTGATAAATCGCAGATATTTATAGGAATTGGCTTTCAAAAATGTGCCTTTTGTAAGCCACCAGCAACCTCAGTCCAGTTACAGGAAACAACATGAAAGCATTTTAAGATGTTCGACCCAATTGCAGAATGCAGAGCGTAAACCATCTGGTATATTTGACTATATTCTATAAACATCTGAAACCTGCATCTAGCCACATACTCATTAAGACTTCATAGCAAAGTGGCATGTTTACGAGGTAATTTTCTGTTTTAATAAAACGTTGATGGCTGATTTCGGGCTGAGAACAGCTGCGGAGCAAATTCTGACTTCTTGATCATTAGAAAACAATTTTATGAATACCGGTTATCAAAACAGTTATTCAAAATATCTGATGTGGGAATGTAAATTCTGCGATACAGAGAATATGCCGGAATATGATGATGATTAAAGGAATTAATGTAAAACGAGGTTAGTAGCGACCATGATTACATGGTAAACCATTTATGGTTGCCTTTAATGGTTAGCAAAACAAGCAAGTTGAACTGTATAGTTCATTGTCACAGGGTGTAACAAGAGAGGAAGGACAGAACAGCACATACTGTTCCTACAGTCATTATTACAATTACAATCTCACTGTTAAAGGTCCCGTATTGTCAAAACTGAAATCTCCTGGCTTTTCACGATAACCAAGGTCTAGTTTCAAAGTTTAAGTTTCAATCCAGGCAATCCACAGTCAAATGAACACAGCCTGCATAAAGTAACTGTGATTTTTCACCAACCGTTGTGACTTCCGTAAAAAGGTGACGTCAGAACTACTCAGTCACCGCCTTCAGTCACCACCCCGAGCACTGCCCACAGTCCCACTCTCCTTTTGCCAAACCCCCAGACAACATCGCGTCCATGCCATTGCTGAGCAACAACAACACGGAAACATGTCGAGAAAACACTGTTCAGGAATGTTTCCTGTAGGGCTGCACGATAAATCGCATGCGATATTTAACGCGCATCTTGTCAGTAAAGCCATTCTGTAATCAGCGGTAAATCTCCATCACCTGCGGGCTTTCACATGGAGCAGCATTAACTACACAGAGCCGTTGTTCGATGATATGATCATGCAGTCAATACAGATATTTCATAAAAACATTAAAAACAAGCAGGGCTATAACATAACCCATTAAAAAAACTCACACCATGTCTACACCGGACGCGAGTGGCGCGATCCGACAAAAGACAATAGAACCCAGTGATGTTGTCTACACTGGATAGACAAGCGATGCAACATGATCCCCATCAGTAAACTGATGCCTCGTTCCATTTATGACGAACTGTACTGACACTACGTTCAAATGATTTGCAACTGTCGCTTTGTCGCGTCAAGTGTAGACAGACTTTTAGCGCAGCAGGGCGCGGCACGACAACTGTCGCGTCCGGTGTAGACACGGTCAGACAGTGTCTGCTCTATTACAAAAAGTCTTCTAAAAAGATTCAAAATACCTAAAACAGCGGCATTACAAGATGGAAATATAGACTAGAAAAGATATTTACATTTGCTCTGTCCTACGTCCATGACACTGACTCACTGTGGAGTTGCCAGTTTTAATCTTAACAGCACTTAACACCGAATGTGCACTTGGATGGTTAGATACATGAATAAAAAAATTAAATAACTTAAGGTCTTTCCAGCATTAAGGTAATCCTGCTTTAAATTTGACTGGTAAATTTGACAAATTTGACTGGTAAATGATAAAGAATGATAGCCCCTTTTGTATTGCATTGCATTGCATATGACAGATTGATAAAAAGACATGCTATTTATGACTGGATGTAACTTTTGATACTTCGCGGTAGGGCTGCACGATAAATCGCATGCGATATTTAATGCGCATCTTGTCAGTAAAGCCGCTTCTGTAATCAGCGGTAAATCTCCATCCGATATCGCATGCGATTTATCGTGCAGCCCTACTTCGCGGTAAAAGTGGCTCTCCGATTGACTTTGCCCTATCAGTGCGACTCCCATGAAAAAAATAGTGAAGACCACTGAACTAGTGACTTGTAGCTAATGAACTTGTTGGAAAGCACTTATCGTGCAGTTTTCGCTTTTTAAGTGCTGTTTGAGTAACAGTTATTAACACTGTGATTTCATGTATTGATTCGGCTGGGATCGGGATGTCTGTGGATTTTATTAAAATGGGAGTGGCTATGAAACAACATGAAACTATTTTCACAATACGTATGTAATTAAAGGTGCAGTAGGAGATCTTGGAAAATGCTAACTTTAGCCTGATAGCACTGAAAGCGAACATCCCACCCTTCCTGCAATCGCCGTCCAAAGCCACGCCCCCTGAACGCATATACGGTCACAGACCAGGAGCATATCGATCGGAACACAGTTCATGCACGTAGCTCACTTCATACGAGCTGGTTATCTGAATCGGGTGTGTTAACTAAGCGAGACATGCAAAAGCCGCTTCTGTAATCAGCGGTAAATCTCCATCGCGTGCGGGCTTTCACATTGAGCAGCATTTACTACACAGAGCCGTTGTTCACTGACAAGCTGCGCAAAAAATCGCGCGATTATGAACGTGGTTTTGCGCAGCTTGCCAGTGAACAACGGCATGCGATATCGCATGCGATTTATCGTGCAGCCCTACTTCGCGGTAAAAGTGGCTCTCCGATTGACTTTGCCCTATCAGTGCGGCTCCCATGAAAAAAATAGTGAAGACCACT